TGCAGCTAGGAGAGGTCACAGCAGCCAGTGGGGATGTAATTGTGTGAGGGTTTGGGGCTGTTGTTAGGAGGCAGTAAGAATTTTGGGGTGGGGGATTGGGCTGAGGGAGGGAAAGGAGTAAAGATGGGCCAAGGCAGGGGGATGGATAAGTGATGTGGAGGATAAGGCTGTGCAGCTAGGAGAGGTCACAGCAGCCAGTGGGGATGTAATTGTGTGAGGGTTTGGGGCTGTTGTTAGGAGGCAGTAAGAATTTTGGGGTGGGGGATTGGGCTGAGGGAGGGAAAGGAGTAAAGATGGGCCAAGGCAGGGGGATGGATAAGTGATGTGGAGGATAAGGCTGGGCTGGAATTGGGATAAGGGCTGAGGCTGGGGATGGCATGGCAGCTCAGGCTGGAATTGGGATAAGGGCTGAGGCTGGAATCGAGATAACAACAGCCAGCAGAGGCCACAGAGGTTTGCAGGGGAAGCAGCCTTAGCCCCACGTTGGGTGATCCAACATCCCCCTAGCACCGCCTGCGTGCAGAGCCTGCTCCCAACATCCCCCTCTCCCTTCCCTAGGATGGGAATCCATGGCCTGGCCAAGCTCATTGCCGACGTGGCTCCCGGAGCCATCCGGGAGAACGACATCAAGGCCTACTTTGGCCGGAAAGTGGCCATCGATGCCTCCATGAGCATCTACCAGTTCCTGATCGCGGTGCGGCAGGGAGCTGACGTGCTGCAGAACGAGGAGGGGGAGACCACCAGCCACCTCATGGGCATGTTCTACCGCACCATCCGCATGGTGGAGAACGGCATCAAGCCTGTGTACGTGTTCGACGGGAAGCCACCGCAGCTGAAGTCTGGGGAGCTGGCCAAGCGCACGGAGCGCCGCGCCGAGGCGGAGAAACACCTGCAGGAAGCGCAGGAGGCCGGAGAGGAGGAGAACATCGAGAAGTACAGCAAGAGGCTGGTCAAGGTGACGCAGCAGCACACCCAGGAGTGCAAGAAGCTGCTGACTCTGATGGGCATTCCCTACGTGGAGGCGCCCGGGGAGGCCGAGGCCAGCTGTGCCGCCCTGGTGAAGGCTGGGAAGGTGTATGCCGCTGCCACGGAGGACATGGATTGCCTCACCTTCGGCAGCCCCGTGCTGATGCGGCACCTCACCGCCAGCGAGACCAAGAAGCTGCCCATCCAGGAGTTCCACCTGAACCGCATCCTGCAGGACCTTCAGTTGACCTGGGAGCAGTTTGTGGATCTGTGTATCCTGCTGGGCTGTGACTACTGTGCCAGCATCCGTGGCATCGGGCCCAAGCGCGCCGTGGAGCTGATCCGGGAGCACAAGTCCATCGAGAACATCGTGCAGCAGATCGACACCAAGAAATACCCCCTGCCTGAGAACTGGCTGCACAGGGAGGCTCAGAGGCTCTTCCTGGAGCCTGATGTGGTCGATGCTGATGCCGTGGAGCTGAAGTGGAGTGAACCAGATGAGGAGCAGCTGGTGCAGTTCATGTGTGGGGAGAAGCAGTTCAATGAGGAGCGGATCCGGAACGGCGCCAAGAGGCTGAGCAAGAGCCGGCAGGGAAGCACTCAGGGACGGCTCGATGACTTCTTCAAGGTCACAGGATCCATCACCTCGGCCAAGCGCAAGGAGCCGGAGCCCAAGGGATCGGCCAAGAAAAAAGCCAAGACCAACTCCACCGCCAAGGCCAATGGCACAAAGGCTAAAACGGGGAAATAACCAGACTGGGTGACCCCAGACCTCTGAGAATGGATTCTTTGGGGCTCAGGGAGGAATTTTAGGCTAATAACTAACAGTTTCATGTCTGTGCTGTGCATTAGTGCTGGGAAGGGATAGATGAGGTCAGGAGTGAGGAGAGCTGAACCAGCTTCTGGGCACAAACACTCCCAGATTTAAGGATTCTAAAGTTGAACAGCTGCAGAGGAAACTAGGGACAAATTATAGAGATTTCAGCCTGATCCTGCCCATCCCAAAACAGGTAGATGCAGCAGAACTGGGAAGGTAGGAGTGGAAGGCAAGCTGGAATTGGGAAGGCTTCAAGTAATGAAGTAAATTTGCCCTTTCATAGGAATTTATTAAGGTTTTTCCTTAGTAAGGTTTTTTCCTTCCCTTTACTGCAGTCATTTAAAATCCTGTTATAATCCCAATTCCAGCAGTATCCTGGGCCACTCTTAGTGCATAATCCAAGGAAAGATGAGCCCAGACTGCAGCTCTCCCAGCCTTAATTTGGCTTCAAAATGCTTAAAGATGCAAATATCCATAAGGCTAGAACAACAGCCTCCTTACTTCTTGAATTCCAGAGGCATCTTTCTGTGTTGTACACACTGACAGGTGCCAGGCTGGGAATTACACATTAAACCTTTTTCATTTCTGATTTTATTCTGTGTTTTCCGTAGGTTTTTTGTTTGTCAGAACCATGTGCTGGGGTTTGCTTTCAGAATAAAGTTTAAACAGTGTTTCTTTCCCAGGAGAGGTGACTTAGACTTTGGTTTTAAACAAAAATTGCAGTTTTAGAGGGAAATCCATAACAGCCAACAGGCTTGAACATGGAAAATTCCAGTTTTAAGCTCTTTAGATGCTTTGTAGATATGGAAGATCCATGGGTTTGCTCTCTGCCGAGGTAGAAAATAAGCAGCTGGACTTGCTTGCAGGGAAATTAATATGTTTAATCCATGAATATTGCTAAAATAATCCTGATTCCTGATGATCCTCCATTTTCTTAAAGGACTGTGAAGGATAGCTGCTGCTCACCTTGTGGTCATAGAGGGTCAGACCTTTTATCTGCTCAAATTCCATGAACTATTTCCTTTCCAAATTCAGAAATATTCTTATGTTACTATGTTGCCAAGAGTACCCAAGGAATGGGACAGAAAGGATGAAATAGTTCCAAGGAAGTTTTCCCCTTCCCCATTGATTAATGAGATTAATAAAACCTTCCTGAGCAAGGCAAGGTTCATGAGCTCCATGGTTAGCTTGGGGGGGTCAGTACCCATTTCTAAACTTCTTCCAGTACAGGAATGTGGCCAGAGGAACATCCCAGTGGCCACTGGGAAAGGTTTTGTTGGTGTATTGAGGGGGAATGGCTCTCCAGAGTTTGGGTGAGGCTGTGTTTGTGTGTGATGTGGTGAAGGGAAGGAGAGAAGTTGTACTAGTGAACTGAAGAAGGAAAAGGGGTCCAGCTCTGTCCTCCCCTCCCAGGGACACACACACACAGGGACATGCTGTAATGGCACTTTATTGCTCCATGGTGGCTCCCTGTGCCCATCAGTAGGTGGTGAAGTTGGCCTGGATGTGCTCTCCAGCATGTGGCTTGTAGGTGCCAACCCCTGCAGCAGAGGGACAGGTGTGAGGCTGGGACATGGGGACCCCCAGGACAGCCCCCACCCACCTCAGGCCCCCAACCTTCATCCAGGGCATTCCCGGCGCTGAGGAACTGCCAGTATGTCCTGTCCTCTGTGCTGCCAGCCAGTCCATGGATAGAGACCACCATGGGGCCCCAGGATGTCTTCTCAGTCTCGAAGCTGCCAGAGAGGAGAGTGGGCTCAGGTCTGGGTGGGGGGTACCAAATCCCACCCCCAGCCCCTCTGGCTCTCACCTGAAGGTTTGGGGTTTCTCTGCTGCTGCCACCTCCAGCACCCGGAGCAGTATGGAGCCATCTGGGACTGTCACTGAGGTGGAGTGTTTGAAGTGTTTTCCCTGGAGCTTGTTGGTGATTGTGTACGTCACTGTGATGGGAGCTGGGGGGAAGTCTGGAGGGGGCAGAAGGGCAGGGTGGGCACCTGCAACACCCCACGGCACACCAGGCAGGAACATCATCCCCACTGGGTCTGGGGGGCTCCAGGTGGGATCAGCATACCTGTGTGAACCCCTGGTGTTTGGGCCAGGGTCACCTGTGGGCCTGGGGATGCACTGCAGTCCAGACCAGCTGCATCCAGGTAGGACCTGCCCACGAGGGCTGGCAGCACCTGGGCAATGGCCATGGGCTGCTGGTAATCATGTCTGGACACCACGGCGAAGGCCTGGGTACAATTCCACTCCCGTGGGGCGTAAAACTTCCTTGTGGCCTCCAGCGCCTGTGGAGGAGGTGGGAGGTGGCATGACAAATCTGGGAATGGGACCAAGTGGCTGTTAGGCCACACTGGCCTCCCCCATACCTGCAGGGCCAGCCCCATGCTGTAGATATTCCCAATCATGCCATTCTCTGCCTCCTGCTCATCCAGGAAGCTGTTGGTCACTGCCTCCAGTGCCATCTGGAGCAGATTCTGCTCGTCCTGGGCGTCCACATAGTCATAGGCACACGCCAAGGCCAGCACCGCCACGGCACGGGTGTCTGTGGGATCCTGGCATCAGTGCCAACCCCTGGGGTAGATCCCCAGGAGTGAGGATGTGGGAGCAGAGGGATCCCTTACCCACGAAGATGTGGCTCTCAGGTCTTAGCACCTGCTTGGCCAGGATCACTGAAGGGTTTTGGTAGTCAGATGCCTTGGCCAGGCACAAGGCCAGGATGTCCAGGCTGACGCTGAACAGGGTGGTTTTGGGGACACCCTGGTCCTCTGAAAAACAAGGAGTGGCAAGATGACAAGGTACAGGGAGGGTGACACCCCACTATGTCGCTCTGCTCCCAGCATACCCAGTTTAGCTATCTCCTCATCTGTTTTCTGCTGCAGGACACTGATCAGGTCGAGGGTCTGCCCCTGGGCCTGGACCTGCCTGGGGTCCTCACAGGAGGAGAGGAGAGCGAGGACATATAGAGCCACCTGTCCCGAGGTCATGTCTGTGGGGACAAGAGGACAGCCAGGGCATGTAATGGGCTTGGGATGTGGCACCCCAGTGCCCATCCAGGGCTCCTCAAGAGCCAGTGGACTCCCCCAGGACCAGGTGCCCTCCCCTCCCCTTACTTCCCTACCTTTCTGGGCTTTCCTCACTGCCTCCTCCTTGATCTCCTGGAGCAGCCACTTGTAGGTGAACCCTTCGGTGTTCCCCCCTGCCAGGTTCATGGCCAGCAGGATGCTGGGGTTCGGTGGCTCGCTGTAGTTGACAGATCCCTCCATGCGCTGAAGCAACTGGGTCACCTTGTCCTGCGAGGCCACTGGAAGGAGAGGAGTGGGCACTGTGCTGGCACTGGGGACAGGAGGTCACCACAGATCCCATGTTCCATCTATGCTCTCTCTCTCTCTGGGGTCTCCATGGGTGGCTGACACTCACCACAGCTCTCCGTGGCCGTGCAGCCCAGCAGGGCCAGCAGGACCCCCATGCCCAAAGCCACAGCAATCATCCTCTTCAAGCAAGCTGATCCACTCAGGGTGGCAGAATCCTGTGGGAATTGTTCTCTCTGGGCATCCTCTCTGCTTTTATCTGTTCCCAGTGTCCTTCTCCAGTTACCTGCCCTCCCACAGCCACCCCAGCACTGCCAATATCCACCAGCTTATCTGTGTGCCTAAGGGTGTCCAACAGGGCAGGAGCAACAGTGATTTTCCATTTGGAAAATCAACCGGTTCAATATCCATGAGGCTGTGCAGCTGGAATCCCCTCAGACATCTACTCAAGGTCCTGGAAGCCCAAGGAGGTCTGTGCTGGCTGGTTGCTGTCCACCTTTACGGGAAGGACTTGGACTTTCTATGAAACTCCAGCCCCTTTAATCTAAACTCAATTCTGGGAAAAATGGGGACACTGGGCACAACTGGGAAGTGATTCAAGGACAATGTCACGGCTAGGCATGGGCGGTGTGCAACAAAGGAGGGAAATTCCTGTCTAACTGGTTCATTATCCCACTGCCATAGGTCACCTGGCTCACAGGCCATGGGAAGGCAGTGGATGTTTTTTTTGTGGATTTTAGTAGGAGTTTTAATCCTGTCCTTCTGGTTTTTGTGGATTTTAGTAGGAGTTTTAACCCTGTCCCTCACAGCATCCTTCTGGAGAAGGTGTCCAGCTGGGAGGTGAGCAGGCACAGGGTGTGCTGGCTGCTGTACTGGTTTTCACTGGTATAGGATCCATTTTCTTCCCTGTAACTGGCACAGTGCTGGGTTTGGATTCAGGGTGGGAGTGCTGTGAATCACAAACAGATGGTTTGGTTGTTGTTGAGCAGGGCTTGCTCTCTTCTAGAACTCTGCAATATTCCATGGACAATCCATGTCCCATGCTCTGCTAGCAAGGAGGTGACAAGGAGCCAGGAGGGAATGTGGTCCAGACTTGGTTTCTGTGTCCACTGGCCATCAGACCCACGAGCCTGGGATCATGGCCTAGACTTGGATCTGGGGTCCTCCAGCAGTCAGGGCCAAAACCCCAGGGTCTTTTCCATCTATGGTCATCTCCCAGGTCCTCTGGCCACTGGGTTCGTGGCCTGGAATCTGCTCCCGGTTCCATCAGGCACTGATGCCATGTCCTTGGGATCATTGTCCGGACTCAGGTCCCAGGTGCTTTGGCTGTTGGGGTCCTGTGTCTACTCTAGTAGGGTGTTAGACTAAGAAATCCTGGCCATGGATCTGTCACAGGGGCAGGGGGCTGGGGTCAGCACAGGTCATGGGGTCATGACCTGAGGTCATGAGAGGTCATGGGGGCTGGGGTCATCAGAGATCACAGGTCCAGGTCAGGGGTCATGACTGGGGTCAAAAGGTCGTGGGGCAGAGGGCAATATAACCCTATTTTCCAAAATGGCAAGCAGAAGCCCTGGGGAACTCCAGCCCAGGCAGTGCCACCTCTATGCCAGGCAAAGATTCTCCTGGAAATCATTTTCCTGGGGTAGGGAAGAGTCACTGTGCAACCCTCTGTGCTGCAAGTTGCAACTGTCTCCCCGTGTTAATCCTTTCTCCCACAGTGGGACAGACCTGAGTACCTGAGATTCCTCAGTGCACAGGTATGTTTCATTGTGGGGATTCTGCTGGAGGAAGTCTGACAGAAGGATTTGCTTCGCTGAACCATTTTGGATCTGTTAGTGGCCTGGCACAATGTTGTTGACAGCTCAAATCCATTTCCAGGGGCTGCAGGAGAGGAGAGAGGAATGCTGCACACACACAGCTCTCTCTAGTTCCTTCGCAGGGATCGTCTTTTCTTATATTTTTCAAGCCCTTTATTATTTCATTCATATTTACAAACCCATATCAGTATTTTCAAACCCTCTAGATGCACAGTCAGAATTTCTTATAGTCTAAAATGCTGTATATAATACAGTAGATTCTATTCTGAGCCTATTTACATCAGGTTCTATTTTGAAATCAATTTTTATATAAATTAATATTGTTTTCCACTGCATATAAAAATGAGAATCTTTACAGCTTTAAATATTTTAACACACATATTTTCAAATGGATTCTAATTCAGGCATTTTAGGGCTGTAACCTCCCATTTTTCAGGGGACCTTGCACGACCTCCCTCTCCTCCCACTCACCTGCTCCCCCACCACATCATCACTCTCCCAGTGACATTGGGGTGTCCCTAGTGACACTATCACCCCCCCAGACTCCCTCCCCTACAGCTTTAAATATTTTAACACACATATTTTCAAATGGATTCTAATTCAGGCATTTTAGGGCTGTAACCTCCCATTTTTCAGGGGACCTTGCACGACCTCCCTCTCCTCCCACTCACCTGCTCCCCCACCACATCATCACTCTCCCAGTGACATTGGGGTGTCCCTAGTGACACTATCACCCCCCCAGACTCCCTCCCCTCCCCTGTTTTTACTCACCCCCAGAGAAGACACAAAGTCCAAGTGCCCTGGCAGCAGCTTGTTGTTGTTTTCATAATTTACACATGGCATGGACATCCCCACCCAAA